CATTGACCCTAATTCATCATTCCTGCAACAAAACATCAAAAATATCTTTCTTTAAAGTGCAATATCATTAAAAACAATATAAAAGAGGTATGAAAATCTTAACCTATTTTCCTTTGGTCAGTTATATCACTTAAGAAAGAATTATGCAAGAAGAGAAGATGAACCAAATAAGAGAGAGACTGGAGGGGAAAGAAAAAAAGTTTCTCGTGATTTTTGAAGCTCTAAAGAAGTGATTATGAGGGTTTCAGCTCTTCAAGTTAATTCTTTTTGGACATTCCTCATGAAAGCAGCCCTATACCTCATGTGGTTACCTCTATTTATTGGTAAAGCCTACTCAAAATGTGCTATAGACAACACTACTAAATAAATTAATTAATTTTATAATATATGAATAGAGTACATAACCAAATAACCAAAAATAAGGCCCGTGTATCGAAGTATAAATGAAGTCAATCTAATATGTTGTACCAAACAACTAATCAAATTAATTTGTCAATCTGACCAAACTGTCTAGCCCAATCGGGTGATCGATTTTGTCGATGGGGCTGACATGCTGAACTGGTTGATAGATCTAATAGGCCAATCCATGGTGTTATTGCTGCACAATACATATATTTCATTTTAACTTATTAAATATATTTTATTTTGAAATGAAAATATAAATAAAATAAAAGTCCCATAAAGTCCCCAAAGGAAGACTAGTACCCAAATAAAAACTCTTTTTGCTTTAGAGATTAGTTAAACTCAATTGAGTGCCCAAAACATTGCGAGCATAACAGATGACAACATCAAATTAAAAAACGCCAACTTCACCGAAATGAAGAAAATAGAGATCCCATGGCTGCCCGGACAAAAGTATGGACAAATTGATAGTAGAGGAACATCAGAAAGCACGACAGGAAACATAATATGGTCGGTGGCTAGATTTGCAATATTTATCACCATGACACTCAATATAGGACTGGATACAACAAGCACAATAAAATTCAATAACACAGGAACTTTAAGATGTTAACGAGTGCTCAATTATTTCTGCATTACAAAGAGGCTCATTATCATAATAAAAACAACAATCATTATTTGACCTGCCAAACCTGCCAAACCTGCCAAATAATCAGATAGAATCTGTCAGGAATGAGCCAGCAGCTGCCCTCCATCCAGCATCCAGTAACGAAGAAAAAAGAAAAAATCATATAAGAAATTATAACTCAATTGGATAGCGACGCTTGACAATAAAAGCAGCATCCTAACAGGCGCATCCTCTTCCTGGCTCCTGTAGTGAAACAGGCTCTGGGATGGTCTGGAAGTATCTGCAAGCGTGATAAATAGAATTACAGAAATCCAAAGAAATTGAATTCTTAAATAATCTTGAGACAGCCTTAAAATGATATTGTTTCAGAGATGAATTGGGCATTCCAGCAAAAACCTGGACCCTTAAACAGATAAATAAATCGATTGTTGATATAACATGGATAGAGCTTTTCAAATTGATGAGGAAAAAATAATTTAGCATCTCCTGCAACATTCAGTAGACACCATTAAGTTTAGGATTCATGAAGCTCACCCCTAATAGTTGAGATGATGGTGATGACATGTGAATCTATGCATTAGTTCCTGCCTACATAAAAATGATCCTTTTGCATCACGGAATTGGTTATTTCTATTCCTTTTCATTACTACTTTTTTACATGGCATGTAAGGCAATTCTTTAAACACGTTAAAATTCTAAGAACTGTTGATGGTCGAGAAAATGATAGAGATTACTCATACCAGGGGAATCCCGCTGATATTTAGGAACTCTGTTATATAATCACTGCTGACAACTGCTTTACATGAAAAAGGGCGATGAGAAAAGACTGGTGGCAAGGAATAAAATCAGGCTAAGTTCACTGTTATCAAATGGAATTTAAGAGTCTACAAGATTGCATTGCTATGTGAAAAAAGTAAAGGTAATTGTTAACACTTAACCAACAAAAAAATTATTATTAAAAAATTAAAAGGGTGACACGTCCTTAGTTGCATCTACAGTCTCTCATTCTTTATTATCCTTAATCCCAATTATTTTCTATTGTTTAATGAATAATCATCAATAAAAATATTAATAAAACTAATAACTATGTTGATAATTAGGATGTTGATTATTTTCTATGGTTGATCACCAACATCCAACGCCACCGCCCACCTCTGCCACCACCATCGCCGACCTTCACCCCAAATGCCGCCCTTACCGCCCGTTTTCGCAAGACTATCACTGCATCGCCACCATCTTCGCTTCCTCTCTCTGCCAAGAGAGCATAAAAAAAAAAAACAAAGAAAACTGAAACTAGAAAAAATAAAACAAAAAGAAAAAAAGAATAGAAAAATAGAAAAAATAAACTTGAATATTTCACGTCGTTGTCATCACATGTTCGTCTATAATACAAATCAAGCATTCCATGTGTGATTACAAGAAAATTAAGTATCGGTATGATTTATACTCGAGGAGAAATATTCGCGCTTGTGTGACATTTTAAGTATTCGTACAACTTGTACTTAAGAAGAGGGGGAAATGTGTTTACTTGTGTGGAACTTTAAATACATGTACGACTTGTAATTAAGAAGGTGAAAAATAATATTGTAAATTTTCATGCAGGTGTTTGAAGACCCATATGCGTATTTCTAAGTGCGGCAGATGAGAACACTATGACTGTAGTGTCCCTTAACACCGACCATACATGCCTTTCTTGTTATGGTGGATAGACCTAATATCCTGGTGATGCAAGGGAGACACCAAGATTGGACTTATAATAAAATTGAAATGATACCTTTGATTTAAAACATAATTTAAAATCTGACTTAAAATACAAATAAAGATTCGATAAGGACTCAAAATAAAATATAAGTTGTATCACAACAAATTGAAAAACTCATAGATGAACAAAAGAAAATGAACTCACAAGGAATTTACAACGGACGTGAAAATTCACCTACGAGTAAAATCAAGCCTCCTAATTCCACTCAAACCTTCCATAAAACTCAGAACTCTCAATGCACAAACTTAAAGCTAAACTTATAATGAAAACAAACTAGAGAGTTCCTATTTATAGAAATAAAAAATTTCTCAAAGGACTCATTTAAAAAATAAGGTGTTTCAGATATTAATTGTTCACAACATGATAAATATTAATTGAGCCTTAATTCGTCTCAATCTCCATTGAATACGTAATACATACAAGCAAAGAGAAGTTAAAGTTAAAACTTGAAGTAAAAAAATAATCCACATGTGCTATGACTAATACAGTGTATGCTTTAGCATGTGGTCTAAGAATGTTGCGTAGATTTGCTTGAAATCAACTAATTGCCTGTATATGATCCTAATTTATTTAAAATGTCTAAATGTGACGTTTGAGATTGTTGTGCAGGCTTAAATAATATTGAAATTTAAATTTATTCAAACTCGATAAATGCACTCGGAGGACCCGTCTTAGTTCGAGGGAGACGAAACAAAGAACTGAAGAAAGGAGGCGAACTGAGAAGGAGAGGAAATGCACAAAAGGAGAAGAAGTGAGGAGTTGGGCAGTTAAAGAATGGAGAGGAATCGAACAGTTGGGAACTCAGAGGTCACTTGTGTTCTACAAAACGATACGTAGGAGGAAGCCAGGCAAGTCCAAAAGAAGAAGAAAGGAGGAGAAGGGAAGGGAACAGAGGAGAGGGGGGAAAAGGAAGGTTGTGACTCACCTGCGTGTGAGGCTCGAGCATAGCAAAAGTGACGATGTCGATGACAAGTAGAGGAGGCGACGTCGGTAACGAACCTCGATCGAAGGAGCTCTTTCGTGCTCTAAGGATTCCTGTGCATTGCTGCCATACAAAGGAAGTACGGGGTATCAACATCGAGAATTTTGAGTAGGCAAGAAGCGCCAAATGCAGAGGAAGAAGGAACTCGACATGCCCTGAGCTTTCGGTTCAGATGATCGCGACCATGCTCTAAGCATTCGTTATAGATGATCATGGGAAGAGGGGAACAAGCGTTTGTACGAAGAAAGGGAGGAATGTGTGTGGGAAGGGGGGAGGTCGAACCGTATGGTATGAAACTTTATAATACTCGTTTATGTTGGATCATAAATTGTATTGTAAATCACGCCTAATGAATAGAGTAATCAGAAGAAAGAAGTGAGAAGAATGATTTAAACACTTTATATTTTGGCGGGAACTCTGTTTTTCCTCAAAAAGTCCCCCCTTTTTTTTGAAAATCATCCTCTATTTATAGTTCATAGGTCGGATTTGTAAGTTACATGATTGTCTCTTCTTAAAGAGGGGAACATTATTATAATTAATGAACCATTACATTTATACATTTATAACTTAATGTCATTTATTCCAACCCCATAACAAATGTTGTGCTGCTATGCTTCTGTAACTGCTTTGAACGCTGCTTCACATTTGTAACTGTCCAATTTGGTTGCTTGGAGTTCATTTGGTCGTTCTTGATTCATTTTACTAACCCAAAATCATTCGGTCTTCTTCAATGGTCCTCGGTCACCCATTCTGTGGAGACTGAATGTGAAAACACGTCATTCTAAGATAGGATTATTTCATCTCTGACATTGTAATTCGATAAGCAGCCTACCTTCGGTCTATGTGCCTATAATACCTCATCTTGGACGACTGCTAATTTTCAAGATGTTATTGGGTATTTGGTGTTGATGCGGCTATGAGGTGTTCGTTGGCTGTCAATTCTCTTCGTTTGATTGGCCGATGAGACTGACATATTGTTAACACGAATAATCCATGTTCTTTATCTCCAATTATTCTTCATGTAGGCACATTCCTGATGTACAGTTTATAATATAAATTAGTAATTATTAATTGTAATTTTTAATTAAATCAGATTTTAAGTTAAAGAAATTTCATAAAAAGAATGGATAGAATTTGATGCATTTAAGCTTTAATTAATAATAAATTATTACAAAAAATAAATGTATGTATAATTATAAGCCTAATAATAAAAAATATATATATAAAGTAAACAAAAATTTAAATTAGGACAGCCAACTTTATTGTCAATATTTTACTAAGATTAAATTGTTAAATGAAGATAACGATTATAATAAAAATAAAATACTTAATTTTATATGATACATCAAAATGTCAAATAAAGGGAAATTGTTTTCCAAAAAGAAAATTAACATCTAACAAATTATTAATAATTTTTTATGCATTTGGCTTTAGGTTTTTCACTGGAAATAAGTGAAGAGAACATTTATAATCATCAGTGATCAAGATGAGTACACATATTCCTTTACTATAGTAATATTTTGTTTTTTATCTACCAAATGCATTTACTGTTATTGTTATAATATCACATACACATGATTTATAGTTCTATTGAATTTTGTTCATATTATAAGAATGACATGTGTGCTCAGTTTTGTTAAATTATCATTCAATCTCGTAAAAGAATATTAACTGCTATGCATATGAAAATGAAATATTTGTTATTAGAACGTAATATTTTTATTATATGCTTCTCTGTGTATGATTGATTATGATGAAGTCACTTTTTATTGTACTAGTGGGAGAATACTAAGGTACGAGTACACTTATAAAGAAAAAAAAAATATATTGAAGTACCTTAAATGATACAAATTTTAGACGGTGCTCCTATGACAACAAAGATATAAAATGATATTGGTATGCAATTGATATTGTAAGAGTCATTGATAACATCTCAAATATTAATATCGGTTTATTAAGAACTTAAGTGACATATTTTTTTTTCTTGTATTACTGTAATTTATGAGTGTGTCTATTTACTTGCTTGTCTAACTCATTGTTATTTTTTTAAACTAACTTTTTAGGTTAAATTAATTAATTAAAAGATGAACGATAGAAGAAAATGTTTATAGAAGACGTAGACAAACGGTAACAAGGTAAATTTAAATATACTGTTTTACTGTAATTTAATTAGTGGCTCTTTCATTTGTTAATAATTAGTTATAGAAAATAAATATGAGAGTTTAATTTCACTGTTAGATCGTATATTTCCATCTTGGTTAATTCTGAGCTCTGAGTCGGGTTGTGACAAGCACTACAATATATTCATAAGCTATTCAACTTTATAAACTAAAAATATTTGCAAGTGCTTCGACAGGTATATTAAAAAAAAAAATAATGTCAGAGAATGTTGTTCAAGCATAAATTAAGTTTAGAAGCAAGTTTAATTAATCTTGAAAATTATGTACATAATGTAAGATTAAAAAAATTCTCTTTTTCAAAATTTCATCTAAGAGTATTAAATAGTGCATGCTCTCAAGAGAACTAATATGATCCT